CAGTAACCTACGAACATCTTCTACTGTTAACGGCCATGTTTCACAGCTACATAGGAGAACGGAGCGAAGTGCTGCGCAGTACACCCGTTCTTTGGTTAGCGAACGGATATCTCGCCTACGCCATAAGTGACGCAGGTTGGCAAAACTCAGTCGAACCTTCTGTATCCGCGCTGAGATTTCGTCACAAACCAGGCTATCAGCGCTGATGAGACTCCCCAGATAAGTGAAGTGATCAACACGTTCGACTACTTCACTCCCTATCACTAGTTCAGGTGCCGATGCAACCCAATCTTGAAGCAGCATTTTGCATTTCGACAGGGAGAACCGCATCCCGAACATGCTCGCATTGTTGCTTATGTTAGTCAGGGACATAATTGTCAATTCAAATCCCATAGTGTTAGAGGTAGTAGAAACATGAGCGAATTTATAATTCGAGATGCATGACCAGGAGTAATCAATTAAAAAGGGAAAGACGGTCATGAGGAATTTAGAAGATTAGGATTTGAGAGAACACAATGAATGAATGCACTTGAGCCATTGCAAACGATTCTAAACCATGTCGTTCAAGGTCTCTAACCATTGGTGACTTTCGTCTCACGGACCCCAACCAGGTAGTCTACATCTACCAACATGACTCAGTCCACTCGTCAGTGACTTCATGGATTTGTGCCATGTTTTGGTTTGGCCGCCCCTAACTTTCTTCCAACCTACTCCTACACTACAAAACATAGCTCGTCGAGGCAGTCGGTGGTTAGGCATACGTAACACATGTCCCAACCATCTCAACTGATGAAATTTCACTACTTCATCTGTTGATCTGCCATCCTTACCTAGTATACGTTTTCTAACAACGGCATTGTTTACTCGGTTATCACATGATACACGAGCAATGCTTCGGAGACAACTATGATCGAAAACCAGTAACCGACTAATATCCTCGCTTCTTAACAACCATGTCTCACAACCGTATAGTAAGATGGAGCGAACTGCAGTGCAGTAAACCCGTCCTTTGGCCAACAAATAGATATCCCGCCGGCGCAAGTTGGAAAAGCTAATCGAGCCTTCTGTGTTCGTGCTGAGATTTCGTCAGTCACCAGGCGATCAGCACGCCCCACTTCCTATCACTATTTCAGGTGCCGATGCAATCCAATCCTGAATTAACATTTTGCACTTCGAGGGGGAAAGTCGCATCCCAAACATGCATGCGTTGTTGTTACTTAGGGTAGTTGGGAGACACTGCATTTTATAAACGTCTTCACAAAGTAGAACTATTTCATCTGCATATTCTAAGTTAACCAGTGAATCTCCTGGTAGAACTTACACCCTCGAAAAGTCTGTGACAAGGTTAAACAAGATTGGACAGTGGACTTCCCTGACGGACACCAATTGAAGTAATCGATCGCGATGACAGTTCGCCATAAGCTCTTGTTCGACCAGTAGTGTTCGAGTCAACAGCTTGTATAACGTTACTGTACTTATTTGGTACACCTTTTACTGAAAGTTTGATTTCCTCGAGTTCTAGTTAGGCGTCTAAGTATTATCGACGCTAATTAGTTAAACTGATCCTTCTACGATTGTCACAAGAAGATTTCTGTCCTTTCTTGCAGACTGAGACCAATCAGATGGAATTATTATGTCCGGTTCCCGTATCCTATCTAAGATCTCAGTCAGTCAAACTGTTAAAACTGGACCACTATCCATAAAAATGTTTGGTCTAAGCCTATCAGACCCTGTTGCTCTCCCTCACTCCATATTTTCTATAGCTGTTTAAACATGATTAGGAGTCGGAGGACTTAGATCGGATTGCCATTCAGGTGGACTGAAGATGGGGTACTACTGTGTGGGCAGTTGATATTCTTGGGGGGGGGGGCCACTCGCTGAGCCTTCAGGCCTAATTTAGGAATTACTAGGACGTCAAGAGATACAGTCCCATGGAAATAGGCGGACAATAATAAGATCAAATGCCACTTAGTCACTAAGTTTGGAACGCGGGGTTTTGTAACTCCCTTATGTGAATCTGCCGTACTCATCAACTTGTTTAAAGCAAGCACCAAACATCCGCTTCCCAACTTCTGAATTTTGTAAACAACCAATTAACTTATGACAAAAAACCCAAACAAATATTACTGCAACAATTACGATCTTCCCCACTGCGGGGATATTTTGCAAGCAGTCATAATAAAGTGGGATTTCTTAATCCACTAAACTGAATCAGGCCAGCAGAATTATTTACAGTGATATTGTCTGCTTGGAAAGTACCCAATAATCTTAAGCTTCCTTCACCTCTGGTTATATAAAATGAAGCTTGATTGGCCTCCGTAGTGTTAAATCTTTACAAGTGAGGTTTATGTCGTCATTAACAGACTACACAATCGAATTCTTTACGACGAGCTATTATAAACCCATTCTTTTGTCTGTGAGTTTTCAAGTGTTTATCGACGTCCAGTCTAGCCAGTCGACATTAGTAATCCTTACCAATTCGACAGGTATTAGAAAGTTGGTATACTCTGTAGATCCACTCAACATGAGATCAGCAATCTTAATAATGCCAAAAGGTTGCTTGGTTTGTTAACAACTCATCTATTGGTGAGTTATCGAAGTAGTGATGCACTAACAGAACAGCTAATTCTGCCCGTTTACGGCCACAAGCTGGCTAAAGTTATTCAGTCTGATCAATGACGTTTAGAAGAATTAAACTGAAGTGATCCGTAATGGCAGGAGCGAACTGGGTTATCCCACTATAAAAGGCGATCAGCTATGTGCTTTTTCTTAGGTTTGAATAGAAAACCACTATAGTGATATACGAGGTGTGCCGTGCATCAGTGACCCTTAAACGAGAGGTAGCCACTGTCCTGTTTAGTTGGAGATGGATTCGGTTCAACCATTCTGGTACTGAAACTTCAAACCAACGACGCATATACGAGCCGCCGAACCTAGCCTTTAGAACCACTGCTTGAAAACCCACGGACAACATCCCCAACCATAAACACCTCAACAATACAAGGCCGCCTAGTTTGTACGACAGCCAGTCGTTATAGCGAACTGCCCCTGCGAAATACGACACAACCGTAGCAGTACCCGAACGACCCATTTGCGGAACAATCACCGAGACGTTACCCGAGTGTATAGAGCACTGAACACACTATTAGTTGTGACAATTACATGTAACCTTTCATCAACTACTGTCATAACGACCGAGCATTTCACTTAGCCAAGTTACAAATACCATAAATCCATTCCTTCGGCACATTGAGAAACCACTGACATGGACAGACTGCCGACACTTACATAGCTGTTTTGAAAAACATAACTAACATAGGTAACTTGATCCATACTATGCAGCTAAGTGTGATAGTCATACCGTAGTTAAACTGGAGACTGAGCGGTCTAACTCTGCACAGACATTTAACCTACCAAGGTAAACCACTGACATTATCAGTAGGAAGATCTAAAAACTGGAATCTTCACGTAGCAATATACACGATTAGATTGTCATGAACATAAAACTCTAGCAAACAACAAAATTATTTTGTAGAAGCTTGTAATAAGGACATAGTTAATGGTCAAAATGTAAAAATGCTCATATACAGACGGCTCACAGATGAACAGCCGCCGCGTGAATAGTATTCTTATAAATTAACTGATTAGGCCTTCTCTTCGGGTTTTTCTTCCTCCGCTTCTTCGGTTCCATTCACTTCAGGCTTGTTGGCATCTGCATTCGGCATTTCAAGATCGGGGAGGTCTGGAAATTGAAAGAATGAATATTATTAGAGAATAAGGGTCTAGTAATGGCATTATACATTTGTCAAAAGAATCTCTACACCTGGATATAAGAGATTTTAGTGACATTGGAAAGTGGTGTTGAGTATTGTACGAGTTATCTTACAAGATCGTGTACTGATCCTATACATCTCGAAGCAAGTACGTGCAAAATACTGCCTCACAGTGAAATTCATGTTAGGCACTAGTGGAAGAACGACTTACATACTGTCTGGAGTCTGATGCATCTGTTTTCATACTCAAATTGGAATACTTTAATGAGTTACAGTTCCAGGGATAAAATATAAGGTTGGGTAGATGAATAATCACTCGACTTAGCAAGCTGAGAATACACAAACCTACTGATAGTAGTTGAAGAGCATCTAGTCGACATCTTTTCTAATCTTTGGATGGGAAACTTCCTAACTATTGGTTTGACAGTTCTTATGAAAAGGACTTTACTAAGGCTACTGAACATCTGATTCCCAGTGACCATAACGTTTGAACTGACTTAAGAGGCCCTTAATTTCCATTTCAGGTAAGTGAGTACAATGCATTTGCGCATATCGGATACCCTACAACGATTAGACCCTAGGAAAGACAAGGAAGCTCTAGGCTACTTATGCAGAAATGACTTCGGTAAGTAATCAAATATTATGCCTTAAACAGAATGACTGCATAGCTAAGAAGCGATAATTTACCTTCATCATCAGAATCTAAATCACCATCAATACCGTCGTCACCACCGTAATCACCGAAATTGGACATCTGAGAAAGCATATTCGAGAAGTTATTTCCATCCATATCAGGTTCGGAGTCTTCTTCATCCTTCCAGCGAGAGAAATCAGTTCTCAACCACGGACATTTCGTTTTTTGTGAAAGTAAACGTGGCCATGTTTCAGCATCTTTCTTTTTAATACATACAAGAACTTCCCGGCCAGAAACAGTGATTTTCGGTTCCTTGAAACCGATTGGATATAAGTGTGATAACATACCTCTGTACAGACTTGTCCATATAAGTCAAGTTTAGCTTCATAATTAGTCTTGTTTTTACCTGCTGTAGCACTGAAGAAAATAGTTTCAAGATTAAAAGAAATACCTAAACTCCAGTGCGTTGTCCTTTACTTTGACATTCTTGTCTGCTACATCGCTGACACTGAAAGTGATGAAGAGGTTATCCTTTTTTTGAGCCCAGAGAACCGTTGGGTGAATACTACGAGAGAATTATACGCCAATTTACACACTTACGTTGGAGGATGAACCGCAGACATGATTGTAACCTGGTAGCACGCAAGACTATTCTAGAGTAGCTACTCAGACAAACACTTGATTCAATGCTCAATATCTAACAAGGTGGGTAACAAATTTTTCACTGTTTTACTAGTTGGAACTAGTGTGCAACTCAATCATTTAACCACAATTTACCTTTCAAATTTTAAACCAAATGTCAAATCTGTCTTACCATATTGTCATGTGTGCACTAATCCCTTTCTTCAAACTTTACTCTCAACTGCTTTCAACAATCTCCTCAGAAAAAATGTGTTCTTTTTTCTGTTGTGATGAAAAACATCTAACAACAAACCAAAAGTAGTATGGTGGTAATTCAACAGCAGTATAAAAGTGGAGACATGATAGGAACGTTGTACTAACCAATAGTCTGGTACTAAAAAATTGAACATGAAAATACAACAGAATATAGGTTAATTTTCCTCTCTCACATTAGGATCTGTAACGAATCGAACAGAACGTAAATGTAAATCAATTTTCGGCAGAGTTTCGTTCTTTGTTCTTCCAAAACAAAACGTCTAGTTGTCGGAGAACAGTTCAAAAATGCCTGGATAAGGGTCCAACGCAACAACCCATTCACTTGGATCCAGGACAGTTGAAAATTTGCAGCTGATTCACTGCTATCGTTTCCCAACAATTTATTCCGTGTGTGATTTATGAAATATACTATATTTAGAGAAGAAGCCGTTTACGCACAGAGTACCTACATCTTCAGTCTTTCATGGTGGATTGTTGACAATCTTCTATATGTCTGCTGGTCTCCAGACTACGCTCAGGACACCATGCGTTTCAATCTTCTTCAATTCTTCTCGCTGGTAGCCACTTACGGGCATTAAACGAGCGTTAAACGTAGTAACACTTTTCGATGACTATCCCGTCTCCGACATACACGACATCATGGCATCACTCAAGGGCACAACTATTGATTCTAAGATTGATCTCGCACGATCATATCATCAGATAACAGTTATTTTTGAAGATATCGATAAAAATGCTATCATGACTCCTTTCTACGAATGTCATTTGGATTACGGAATGCTGCTCAAACTTTCCAAAGGTTTATCGATGGCATGGTACGAGATTTCGATTTTGTTCACGTCTATGTTGATGACCTGCTAATAGCATCATCAAACGAAGATGAACATTATCAACATATTACACTCTTATTCCAACGCCTTTCAGGTAATGGAATCGCAGTTAACCCATAAAGCGTGAACTGGGCAAAGCAGAAATAAAATTCTTGGGTCGCATCTTTAAGCATGACGGTATTCTACCTTGTGAAGATAAAGAACGTACAATCATGGAGTACACTCTACCGTCCTCACTCAAAGAACTCAAGGCTATTCTCGGTTTGGTTAATTTCTTCCGACGTTTTAATCCTCACGCGTCAGAACAGTTACGACCATTTGCCGACCTACTTCGCGGTGACCCACGTAAATTAGAATTGAACGACGCCTCGCGTACTGCATTTCTAGAGATAAAAAAGCCTTAGCTGAAGTTACGCTCCTTGCAACAGAACATCTCTGGAAGTTGGCAACCTGTCGAATTTTTCTCACGACACCTTATTCCCACTGAGACGAGATGTAGCGCTTTTGGTCGCGAACTGCTAGCAGCCTACTGTCCCATCAAACCTTTCCGGCAAGCAGTAGAAGGTCATAAATTTATCCTATTCACCGACCATAAGCCTCTAACGTATGCTCTTCATACCTAGTCTGACTGCTACCCATAACGAAAGTGCAGGCATTTGGACTATATTTCTCAGTTCACGACGGACCTTCGTCATATTAAAGGCGATTCGAACTATGTTGCAAATGCTCTTTCACGTATTCCAGTGAATGCTGTTATTTTACCAGTGCTCGATCTTCCTGCTATGGACGCTGCCCGAGCAAATGATCCCTCCTGTACAGAAGCACAACAATCGACATCTCTTCAGTGCCAGGAAGTACCCCTAGCTACCACATCAGGTACTACCCTGTGGGACGACTCTGCTGATTTTCCCTGACCCATTGTACCATTTGTTTATCGTCGACTGGATTTCGATGCCCTTCATGGATTGTCTCGTCCAGGTATCGCAGCCACTTTACGTCTCATCGCTGCATGATACGTCTGGCTGTCCTTGAATAAAGAGGTCCGTGTGTGGGTAAAGCAATACTTACAATGTCAACGATCAAAAGTGCACGGGCATGTAGCCGCCCCTATCAGCACATTTGCTACGCCTGACGCTCGGTTCGATCATGTTCACATTGACATTGTAGGACCATTGCCACCACCGCGTAGGTATGATCACATACGTGTATCGATCGTTTCACTAGATGGCCCGAAGCTATTCCCATCACTTCCATTATGTTAGAAACAGTTGCTCGCCGCTTCGTAGAACGATGGATAGCGCTCTACGGTTGTCCCTTGACTGTCTTAATTGACCGAGGACAACAGTTCGAGTCCGAATTGTTCTGCTTGGTACGGAGCGCATACGCACAACCACCTACCACCCAGCTTCGAAAGGCTTACTTGAACGGTTTCATCACCAACCTAAGAGTGCTCTTCGAGCACACGAAAACAACAAATGGTACGAGACCTTACCGCTCGTTCTCTTAGGTATCAGAACCAGTTTGAAGGCAGATATTCAATCTTCCGCCGCTGAATTGGTATACGGCACGACATTGTGTCTGCCTGGGCAATTTTTCACACCACTAGCAGTGATAACGTCAATAAGTTAGACAACGTTCAACGATTGTCTGAGTTTATGCTGTGGTGTGTCGATTTACTGCGTGTTCTTAAGCTCGTTAATTAGCTCGTCCAGACAATCGTCACTAAATTGCGTCTGACGGTTTATAAATCAGAAGGTAAACTCGTAGTGTTGAATACGTTTATTTTTGGACACACCACAAAGCGAAGTTGAAAATCAGCGAATAAAGCGAACGAAACGACATGAAAATAAAAAGGCTGTTGAGCCAACTCCCAGGATTACAATACGAACGAATGGGCGAAGAGAGCGAATGAATAGGCGAAGCACGTTGGAGAAGGCCAATGAGCCAACTCAAAGAGATAGAGCGTGACCAAGAATATATAGTCAGACAAATATAAGACAGACATGTAATAATAATAATAATAATAATAATAATAATAATTTATTCTCAAATAACTAAGTTACAAGAGACACGCCAGTTTACAGGCTAGATCAAATTGTGACAAGCGAAGTAGGCATGCACACACATGAATAAAAGAGACGAATGATTGACAAGGTCAAATGACAGGTAGGACACGTCATGTGAGCTCAAACAAACCAGACATTCATAAAAACAAAAGGTACATATAAATTGTTGCAATACAAATGGCTTGGTTACATAAATTAGTCGAAAGGGCTTGACCAAATTAAATGCAAGCGAACTCGAATACATGGGGAGGCACTACAATGCGAGCACTGCCTCTGGTGTCAACTCGAGAGTTATCTACCTGGTCGCATGTTTTCTTACGAGCCGATTCGGTACGCGAACCTTCGCAGCAACCTTACGAAGAACCTTTTCACGTGATTTCTCGTCATGAAAAGACCTTCGGGGTTGCCCGACATGGCCGCGTCGAGATCGTCAGCATAGATCGTCTGAAGCCAGCACACGTCCATGACAGTGCCCTACTTGCTGATCCAGGACCCAATGCTAGACCAATCAAACCTTCTAGCGGGATCCTTAAAGCTACTGAGGATCCCACGCTAGACAAATCAGAACAAGGTCGTTCTGGTCGTTTCTGGCTCGCTCGCTCAGTCTCGTTTCGTCCTATGTCTGCAGCTTTTTCTGGCACGAACCCCCATTGACGCAATCTCCAGACTCTGAATACAAGCCATGCTGGTGTGGCACACTTGCCCGAGCAACAAACTTGTCACGTTACTACTGGTACAACTCACCGAAAAAGACTTTCGATGACAACTCAGGCTTCATTTTTCGCTTCCTGCCCGTCAACCCTTCCGCCCTACAGTCGCCCGTCAGCCGACCAGTTTCCCCTCTGCACGAAACCGTTAAGAATCGGAAGTATAAACCCTTTCTAGGTGGGGGCTAATGTAGTGGTATACTTTTACAAAGATAACACAATTACCGAAATATAAACATTTATTATTGTACTTAATTCTGAAAATAGTTTTTATATTTTACTCCTTTTGTTTAACTGCGCTAATGACTATCGCGCGCCAAGCGTTTCTTTCCCTTTCCGCTCCTTTCCTGGTTTGTTGTTAGCCGCTCCTGTACTCTAGTCTCGATATTATTTCGATATCACGAGGCTAGCGGCAAATATACATCTTCACCCAGAATAGTTTTTTCTTTGACTTCTGGATTATCGGGCTTTACCTTAGTAATCCCGCGGAGGCGTATATTTATTTTAACTCACTATAATCTTATGCTGCTTCCTTTGGTACTGTCCACATTTTTTACGTTCACTTTTTGTTTATCACCGCTTGTTATCGCTCTTTCTTCCACTGACTATTGTCACATCTCTGTGATTGCGATCATGTCTTATTGTCTGTCGTATGTGGTCTACTTTTGTAAATCAGTCAGGACCAGGGCTTTCTGGTTGTTCCTCGAATCGTGGCACAATGAGCTAGTGATATCATTGGGAATTTAGTCTACCAGTTACTTCCTTCAGCTCTCAGCCATTTTTTTTAGAGTAGTACTATTTATTTCTGGTAACCTGTTGGTCTGCGGATGATCAGGGGTTCTTCGGTCCCTCGTGAGGTACGACCAACTTAGGGGATATGAGTTTGACTTTCCGATAATATGGATCTTGATTGAACAATATTATTTTCAGGAAGCCACATTGTGCTGAGTTACTGTCTCATATACGGTCCTCCCGCGTTGTCCAGGCGTTGCAACTTCATCCACCCCACGTGTAGCATGCCCTGTCGTCACTAACAAGTACTGATCAACGTTCGATGTCTGAGGAATAAGCTACATGATGTCTTCTACTGTTGTTAACGAAATTGACCGTAAAGACATACGTATTCGTCGATCACATTTCAATAATTAGTATTGACGGCAGGCGAACACATACTTTGTAGCATTTTTCAGTTCTGGCTAATGTGCAATTTATTGCATTAGGTCACTTGTTCTTGCAACACCTATGTGAGCTAGTCGACGGCATTCGCGGATTATTTTACAGCGTGAATGTCTAGGGATTTTCTCTACCCAACTACGGTCGTCCGCCTCCTAAGAAAACACTCTTGCAGTGTTTAGTCGTAGTTGGTCTTTCTGGTTAAAAAGAGTCATTCCGTCTTTGAGTAACTCGAATGTTCTGTCGTCGATTCCTGTAGTAAGTGCTCGTTTCTTGAGGGTACAACGTCCAACGCCATAATTT